AGAGAGAGAGAGAGTTGTGACTTGAGACTTGACGGCATTGGATCCAGACTCGACCTTTGGGATTCAGACATTTCGACGAGGGACTATTTGGGCCTGTGCTGAACACTTGGTGTTGACGACATCCCATCTTCCCCTCTTCTTCGTCTAACCCCCATCTCCTTCGTCTGTGTATGGTTGGGGCTGGCGCAGTCTTCCTGTGTGAAGCGCCAGACCCCTTCACACCATGGAATGATGATGATGATGTATGTTTGGGGCTGCATTGCAATATTGATTGTTCGGATCATTGGTATCTAAGTCTTCCGCTGTGCTATCTTATACGTTGTATTGAAAGGTCGGTTCATGTTCTGGTCTGCACCTATACGGTATGCAACAACCCGCCACCGTGCGCGCATCCCAGGTTCAGTTTTGTTTTTCTTTGACGCGGCTAGCGGACTGAAAACGGGTTTGGACACCATCACCCCTCACCCATACCGGACCTACAGATCCAACAAGACAGGTTCTGAAACAGTAGTGGTTTTCAAAAAGGACATTTGTGCATAACAAAGATAACATAGTAAATATACCCAATATGACAAATGAAGATTCGGAAATTTTTCAAAAACACAGATGGCTTTGGCACAAAATACCAACATTGGGAGAAAAAAAAGAGGAAAAAAAAAAAAAAAAAAAAAAAAAGAAAACCAACATCCTAGGACCTAGGACCAGTGAAATTACCCGGATCTTAAAAAAAAAATTCTACATTCCTTTTGTTTCGGAAAAAATGGGATGGTAGCGTCTTCGCTCCTTTGTGGTAAAAAATCTCTAAACACACGCACTCAGGCACGATTTCAAAGGCGAGAAGCATTTTGCATCAAACGGGATGTCAAAATGTTAAGTGTGTATAATACGACTCAGGCCTGACAGGGAAGCCGCAAAGGAGTCCAAATTTTATTTCTATAGTGGTCCATGGACAATTGAAGATAATGCCCACCTCAAAAAGAAACAAGCATACGAGGCATCAGGTCAATGTTGAGAGGAAGTGAGAGAGAGAAGAGGAGGGACACCCCCTCCAAACGTAAGCAGTAAGCAGATGAATGGGGCCCTGCAGCTGGTCCTAGATACCACCATCTGAGTATAATAAGGCTAGACCATCTCTACAGAGTCAAAGTCTACACCATAGAGCCACTGATTCAGCGACATGACACCAGCAGCAGGAGGAATAAATGGGAGTAGAGAAGCCCTTCCATCAAATGATGTGCTGCTACGCCTCCTTATGCTCGCCCTACCTCCGCGCCCTCTCTGTTGACCCGCTGGAGCCAAGAGCAGCTCCAAATCCCAGGAAGGAGGGCATGAAAATGCGGTGCAAGTCACTGGAGAGATCCAGATTCAGGGCCTTCGATGTAAACCCACTCGCCAGCAGCATCTGAGACCAACGTCAAGCCACTCTGGGGACTCAGCAAGCAACCTACCTCAGAGCCACTATGACTCACACAGTGGACAAAGCTGGAACCTTCCTGGTTCCATCTGGATTCAAACTCAGGTCTGCATTTCAACAGTTTGTGGGTGTACCAACTAAGCTCAAGCCCATTGGTAAGCTGTAAGCTTCCTGTTGCTCCACTACCGGACAAACTGTGCCTCACATAGTGGACGAAACCTCTTCAGTCCATCGTCGTCACCAAAAAGGTGAGCCATCAAAGGAGATGTAACAAGACGACTGTTTGGCCCAAAAACATCAGCCGTAAGCGGAGGCATAACAAGAAAACAGTGGTGCACCGTGATGCACATAACTGACAAAAGCTTTAACACGGCAAGCCCGCTGCGACCACTACATGGCGAACAATCAGCTGAGGCACACAAGGATTGCTGAGAGAGACGTTAGGACCAAGGGGCTCGCCACACTCCGGTCGAGAAAGGGGATCTCAACCGTTTCTCCTCGTCACACAGCCTTCCGAAATCTCCGAGACGTACATGCCCATCTGGCGATGTACTTGATCTGCGAAATGTAAAGCTCCGACCACATTGCAAATTGAGTACTACTGCTTGCTCAGACCAGCAGACTTCTGAATGGTTTGACATGACAGGATGGCACTCACACCCTTATACAAGGCCCTTCCTGGCTAGTGGCCCAACCCCTTGCTTCTACCCATCGATTCCCTCTCTCATGTCATCTGAGTGTCTTCCTGCCTTAGCATGTCAGACCCAACAATATCTGCAATATCTGGGGTCAAATCTGGGAGGCCAGCGCTGCGTCAACTAATGGGCCAAGATCAGCCGACTCTTGCAAAAAAATTCACCAAGTTGTCAGAGAAAGGGTTTCGACACCTTCCAAAAGAGGTTGGATCCGTAGCCTAGAACTTCGACATTCTTAACAGTCCTCCGCCACGCTATCGAGTTCTCCACTGAATTTGGTAAGCGGGCCTGTGGTTGAGAGATGAATGCTTGTCCTATCCTCAGGTGGGTTTGTCTCTTTTGGACTTACATTCGTGTGAGTTCATCAGTTCAGCAGTGCTGTGTGGCGAAGGGGAGGGGGAAACTGTCAAAGCGCGGCTGTCGAAGTTCTTCTGACAGTCGTTGAAATTTCGATGCTTTCGATAGTGGCATGGTGAGCCCCCAAAAGGTGGACAAAACCATGCCAGAACAAATGGGAGCGGAAAGGAAACAAAAAGAAACAGAGAAGTATTTCCACCCAAGCACACAAGCAAATGAAATGCACACTGAACTGTCCGAAAGCCTCTGACTCTGAAACCTTTGCTGGGAAAAGAAAAACAAACTTGCACACACAAGCAGATAACCAACCAATCACGAATAACATGCTCCTATAACCCAGAACAGGCCAAGGTGTCACCTTTGGCCAGAGAAAAGAGTAACCCACAGACATGCTACCACAACCTGTCTACTAAGTCCTAGTCCTCACATAGTCCACCGCAAAACCACGTTTGAGAGAGAGAGAGAGAGAGAGAGAGAGAGAGAGAGAGAGAGAGAGAGAGAGAGAGAGAGAGAGAGAGAGAGAGAGAGAGAG